CATCAACTTGCTTCAATGTGCTGAGCGCTCCATATCGCCTTCTCTGCTCCTATCACTGGACGCAGAGAAAGCATTTGATAGAGTTCATTGGGGATATCTCCAAACGGTATTGCAGAAATTTGGCATAATAAACTTTCTAGGTTCCGCCATAAATGCCCTCTACACTACACCAAATGCCAGAGTGCTAACGTCCGGTCTGCTATCAAACCCATTCCCCATAAACAATGGCACAAGGCAAGGTTGTCCTCTTTCCCCACTCATCTTTGCCTTAATGATGGAACCGTTGGCTGTGGCTATCCGTCAGTCTCCGGACCTAAAGGGAATTCCCATTGGCAATGTCACACATAAGATTGGACTCTACGCGGATGATGTCATCATCTTCCTCACAGATCCAATGCAATCTTTGCCTGCAGTACACCACATTCTAACAAAGTTTGGGGAGATCTCATTTTACAAAATTAACCATACTAAGTCTCAGATGTTACTAATTAATTCTACCCCTTCACTTAAAAGATCAATCACTGCCATTTCCCCTTTCTCATGGGCATTTTCTGACACCTTCACATATCTGGGGATACAAATCACATCACCTAGCTCCAAACTCTTGCAACTAAACTATACCCCACTTCTATACAATATGCAAAATGTCTGTAAAGACCTCTGCCACCCTCCAGTCTCATAGGCGGGTAAAATTACCTTGGCCAAACTGTACTTCCTCACATACTATACCTATTCCGGGTTCTGGTGAAGGGGGCATGCCCCGGAAACGCGTTAACGTCACTACACACAGGAATTGCCCAGTGGATGTTTTACTGCCTGTCAACTCTCATTCCATGGCTTTGAGTACCATTCTGTTTTTACTCTATGTTCATTGAAATAAAATTGACCTGCACCAGGAAAGGTGCCCCCTTTGTGCTTATTTTCAAGACTCTCAGCTTTCCCGGCTTCTTTGGGGCAGCATGCCCAAGAGGATTTCCCATTGAGGATTGATAGTTTGTGGTGCTTCATTGCTTTTACTTTTTTTACGGGCACTACCCATCCCCTTACTGCCTTCATACATCGCCTCCCTACAAAAGGTTCTCGACTTATTCATATGGAATAATCGCAAACCTCGGATGCCAAAAAAGAGCCTATATACCCCCAAATCTCACACGGGAGATTTGGGCACACCTGATTTAGCCTTATACTACAAGGCTGCTATCTTGGATCAGATCCGACATTGGTGGACTTCTGCCTTGAACAAACCATGGACACATATGGAACAAACGGCGGTCTCTTTTGACCTACGTTCCTTATTGTGCAAAATGCTTCTTAGACACATTTTCCGCTGCCATCAAAGGCTGGTCCTCACTTGGCCCTGCCTCCCCGCTTACCAACTGCTACACTCTGAAACATATCCCTATCTCTTCACTAGAACATATTATCACTGACCTAGGGATATCCCACTGGACTCCTCTCGGTATCACTCGCCTAGACCAAATATTCTCTGACTCTACTCTTAAATCCTTTGGCCAACTACCAACAATATAACATACCTACCAAAGACTTTTACAAATATCTAAGGATCAGGCACTACCTATCTACAGCTCAACTTGGGGATACTTCATTCCATAGACAATCCATCTCCTTCTTCTCTACAGCTTCGCCACTAATGAAAGGTATTTCCTTTTTTATAAGCTATTGGCTACTCCACTGAGTGATGAAAAACTTCCTGTTATGATGTGGTGGGAGGAACAGCTGGGGTTCACTCTCTCCCCTATATCCTGGCATCAAAACATAGCATGGACACTAAAGGCATCAAGATGTCTTACACACTGGGAATCAGCCCTAAAAATATTCCATAAATGGTACTATCCCCCGCACAGATTGTATGAAATGTTTCCATCAACCTTTCCACTTTGTTGGAGAAACTGTGGACAGACTGGTACACTGTATCATATCTGGTGGCAATGCCCCCTGCTGCAACCATTCTGGAATACCTTCTTCCACTTTCTCAGTGGGGTCACTCAAATAAGACGTGAACCCTGTGCACAAATGGCCCTCCTAGGAGTAGGGGTGATTGATTGGCCTACCAACTCACAAATCTTTGTGACACACAACATTATTGCAGCTAGGCTCTCCATTGCCAGACTATGGAAACAACAGACGATCCCCACACTGTCCACTGTAATAGAAATTATAAACCAAAATTCCCACTTTGAATATCTTTTTTGCTAGAGCACATTGAAAAGATCATAAATTCCTCAGGGAATGGGACTGCTGGATGAATGACAACCGATGTACTACCCGACTGCTCCCGAAATATTAACTGTCCCCAAACAGCCTAACTAATGGCCAATACTATCCCCTATCCCAATCCTATATTGACACTTTTGGATTGGAACCCCACACATAAATTTCTAGCATATACCTAAACTAGAGTGGCTCATGTTAGACGATGAACGATACACCTACAACATACCTTATCCCATCTCAATGCATCGAAAACCTGTTTTAGGTCTCCTCTCCTTTCCCCTTCTTCCCACATGTTTGTATGTCATTCCCCATCCATACCTCCTTTCCCATCATTCCATTAAGATGCAAACCTACTATTTGACAAAAAAGCTTTAACGACACCATCTCCTGGTTCTGCGCTGAGCAGCACCATAACACTAAACATGGGCATTTACTGTAGTTATAAAATGTATGCAATGTGCAGTTCTACACACATACCACTGTACTACACCATTTGTAATACTACCGATTGCTTTGTATACTTGAGCCATTGGCACTATGTGACCTGTAAACCGTAGTATTTCTTTGCAATCCTGTCTTATCATATGCAAAAAACCTTAATAAAGACGTATTGTTAAAAATAAAAGAGCTTAATATGCAGATGAAATACACATGAGGGAGCTTTTCTACCTTCCAAAGAATTTGTATTTCTGTCCATCCAGTTCAGAGATTTACAAAGCTATGCTACACAATACAGTCCTGGTAGGAGACCTATTTTCCTTTGCTGTACAAAAGTATTATTAACCCTTGCAGTTGGGCTACCCCAGCACTGCAAGGATTAACTGCTTGTTTTGGTCTAGGGAGAAAAAATAACAAAGTTATGAGCCAGCCGGCTATGCCAGAACTCCCTCTAGCCTCTCCCCTCCTACATTGAAGCAATGGAATTTCCCTCAGTGTCCTCATGTTCTATACACTGTGTATAGAACATGATCATTTATGAGACTCTATAGGATCAGAAAGGCTCCAGGGACCAGTCTAAGAGCCAACTCAGAGGATCGAGTGAGTATAACTTTGTTCATTTCCTCCCTAGACCAAAATGAGCATGTAACCCTTGTAGTGTGGGTGGTACACTGCAAGGGTTAACAATAATTTTCCCCTGAAGTTCTTCTTTAACTCCTCAGTGACACAGCTTCAGAAAATGTTTTCGCTGCTGGGGACTGGAGCAATTTTGCCATTGTTGTGATTGTTTAACCTCAATTTTAAATTTTCCTCATGTATGGCACCTACACATGTTATATACCGACAAAATGGACTTTAATTTGATGTGACATATGCATATAGAAATACTTATTTGTTTTAGAATATAACATATTTTTTTTACTTTTTAACTTTTGTTTCCTTTTTTTACAAATTTTTAAAATGTTGAAATCTTTTTTTTTACACTACGGGGCACTAAGGGGTTATTTTTTTATTTACAGGTGCTTTAATACTTAGTATCTCTGAGGAGAATACTGTATTCTCCTCAGAGATACTTTCTATCACTTTTGTAGCACACAACCGGCTAGCAGCTTACAAAACACAATGAGCTGTTTGACTCTCACAGCTCAGCGATCACAGAAATCAGCTCTCGCTGTGATCACAAGGCTGTGATGACCTATTCCGCTGTTGAGGGTCTGCCTCGGACCCCAAGGGACCCATCAACAGCAGTAGCTCAATGAGCGCTGGTCCCTTCTTAGACCAGCACTCATGGTACCACATGGCAGGATTATCCTGTCACCGGTCATTAACAAACTGAACAATCATGACGGGATAATCCCATCACTGGTCAGGAAGGGTTTAAATAACAATTACATGTCTTTGACTAGACAGTGAAATGAAAAGCAGCAAACAATTGACTTTATCTTTCTCTTACTCTGCCCTCTCTTCCTATAAGCATATTCTTTTTTCATGCATTCATATTCATCATACCTGTCTGGCTTCCATTCTTGCCTTTTCCTCTCCTAGTGCTGCTACATAGGAAATTGCAAAAGACTAATAACAGATCCAGGTATTTCATTGCTTGAAATAATGATAATACTATCTTATTATTTAATGTAGTTCTGCATGAAAGCATATCTTTAATATCTGTCTGGAAATTAGCTTTAAAGCCATTCTGTTTGTATTTGCTCAACTACAAGCTTTTAGGTAATTGGAGGAATAGGACAAACTTCAGAGCAACGGACAAATTCACAATCCACATATTTAAAAATTCTCTTTGTTATTAAGATCAAAAGTCAGCTGAAAAACAGATATTGTGTAGTATAGCCATTTTAAAGCTTATCTGAAACCAAAAGCACAAAATTATAATATACTGCAGATGACCAGTCCTTATATGTGTTGGCTCCATTATTTTCTTTTTATCCAAGCTTGTTTTCACTTGTTTTCTCCTGGTGATTCTGCCAGCAACACTCACTCTACTATGTCAGGGTAACAATATAAAATTACAGGACTTCAACCCTTGCCTCTAATTCATACTATGGTTCTGAAATCCTCAGAGATAGCTGAGAACAATGTAATTTATATCAGTCAGCACAGGCAGAGAGTACAGGAACTTATCAGCTCACAATATTACAACCAAGATCAAAAGGTATCTTTTACACTTGTTGAACAGATATAACAAAATGTTTTCAATTGTATATGCAATAAACCAGAAGGAACCAAATAACAGGAGCTCATTGTTAGGGTTTACATGCCGTTTAAGGTATACCAAATAAAAACGTACACACTTTTCTTTCTTTTTTTTACAGTCTTCAGTTTCTTGCATTTGACACTGAGGCATCGCATGACATCCTGAGAGTTTGGGATGGACCCCTTGAAAATGAGATGTTACTGAAGGAAATCAGTGGCTCTCTTATCCCGGAAGGAATTCATAGCACTCTTAATGTCGTGACTATACAATTTGATACAGATTTTTACATCAGCAAATCTGGATTTGCCATTCAGTTTTCAAGTAAGCTATTCCTTACGCAGAGTTTATGTTTTTCCTTCCCGTTGCATATGGCAATAGTGTAACAGCTGTACCTATGTTTGAAACTCAGCTTATATTTTATTTACTATTCTTGATCTAGGATATTTTTTATTTCATACAAGTTAGAAGAGCACTTATAAAGAAAATTCAGTAAAAATACAACACATTTATAATTTATTTTTCCTTTCTTGTGAACTTTTGAACTCTGTCAGATTCAGAGGAACTTTTGATTTATATCTGTTGTGATTTTCTTTTTTTAAGCAAGTCATATAGCATTTTCATCTATGTAATATTACCCAAGGAAGAAGGACAAAGTCTTTTTTGTAAGATTTAAGAGACAAAACATATTTTACTGGTGAACTTATAGTTGTTCAGTTTCTTATTTTGTCTCTTCCTTCTACCTTTTGCTATGTCTACATGATGTTGCCACAATTATTTAAGGAGTTAAGAGTGTTCCCCTAGGAAAGTGAATGTTCAGTAAGCTTAGTATTTAAGAAACTTTGCTCAATCATAAATTGTGCTATCAATTTTTTATTTCCTTTGCCAATGATTTGATATTTATAAGTAAGCACAGATTCATCTTATTTACGAACATTACGTGTTACAATGTTTGCTTTGCTATGGGAACAGCCTTATACTTCTTTAGCAAATTAAATCTGCAGACTTTACTTTAAAAGGTGCACCCATTTGGGCTGAAATCCTCATACTAATTTTGGAGCCTATTTCTTGTGAAGTTGAATCAAGTTTGCTTTCTCATATCTGAGTTTCCCCTCGATGACTTGTGATCTATTGACTGATGGGGGAATATTCATAGAGCAGTAGCAAGCACAGATCCACAACATTGATGAAGCAGGGAGATACTGCAGACCCTCATGACAGCTCCCTCTCCAGCGAGGAGAACAGTAAGAACCACTAAAGTGACAGCACCAAATCTTACTTCCTATCTAATGAGACTAGGAGATTTACCAAAAGCAAATAGGCTTTTCTCTTTGCAAAGGAATATTCCATTAGCTTAGTGACTGTAGTAAAAATTCACTTTGCAAAGGATATCCAATCACAACAAAGGAAAAATAAATTATTTTTTTCACATAATTGGATGATTGAAGTCAACAGAGATTTCCCTCATTTATTAACCTAAGGGAAATTATCTTGCAATGTGAAAATCCATTCCCACAGGCTATATTCCTTTAGTAAATCAACCCCATGAAGTCCGAGGCAGCAGTACCTGAGATCTCACACTACAGATATACAACTGCAATGTGAATGCACTGCTTTTTTGGGGGGAAAATTCAGGCAAAAGGTAGATTGTCTGGGTACTGCTAAGACACAATTAACATTTTAAGATCTTCATTTTTTGATTGCAGGTTCACTTTAAATATAAGCTGTGCAAAATTATGTGGTTTATTAATAAGTATGCAAAGGGAACAGTTACTCACCTGTCTAACTTTTTTATTATTTTGTTTGAACAAGTAGCTGCATATGTATACTCCCTATTCAGCCCTAGTGTTTAGGATTCAACTATTTGGCTTCCTGCAAATGGATCAAATAGTTTATATGATTCACCTTGCATATATTGGTCTATAAAAATGATGACAATTGCCTAAACAGTCCTAATATTTTCAAATTATGCTGTGGCATTAATGTTACTAGAGATGTAATTATCACTGTGAAATGCAGATTGAATAGAAATTAAGTTTTCCAAATGTATATCTTATTAATGAGATGTATATCTCATTAATTATATGTCAAGGTAAGGTGTGAATATTTTTTTTCTTATTAGCAGTTAATTCAAGATGTCATTAGATCACTTTTGCATAACAAAGAAGAAATAATTCAGTAGGTTTTGCGCTTAACGTATTAGATGTATTCTTAATACCCCCAGGGAAAGTGTAAATGTATATGAAAGTTTCTAATGATTGATTACATATAGTGCAGGCTTAGATAACCTTCCACTCTCCAGCTGCTATCAAAGCTGCAGGGCAAATTGGGCCTTGTAGTTCTTCAACAGCTTGAGGGGGCAGGTTTTCATTTACTAACATGTTGCTTATTTAATTTTAGTTACATATCTTATAGAAAAAAACATCTTCCTGGGAGTACCTGAAATTCATACAAAAAACATATTAAAAAAATAAAGAAGCAGAAGAAGTGATACCTGGAAAAAATGTATCCCCAAACAAATAATGAATTCATCATGTCATAAAAATTATCCAAATTCAATAATGCCCCTTCATTGCTTTCCAAATCTATGCACAGAGCTGCCCCAGTCACCAATCAAGCAGACACTAGAAGAGTATGTAATACATCAATCCAAAGAGATGCATGTTTTATTAAACCTTATAAGATGAATACAGAATGGGACCTGAGTTTAAATGTGTGTCTGTGTAATGCATATACAGTATATTAATTAATGGTCATTGACTACAAGTTCTTGTTAGCGCAACACCCGCATGATCATTTCCATCCAATGACAACAGCAAACTGGACTCCAGAAAACAATCTGCATGTGAATGTAGATAATGCTTTAAGTAATTACTGATACAATTTGCTTCACTTCACATTTCACAATTCATATTTCTTCTAGTTCTTTGTTTTGGAACATTATGGTTTTAATTCTGCAGTGAAATGGGTAGATTAAAATTGGTGGTTTATTTACTAGAGGCAAATAGGCTACAAGTTGCAAAAATAGGCACTTTTCAAAGTTAATTTTCTCCACATTTAATATGCTAGGGGATAATTCCCTTGCAAAGTGCACTTAATCATGAGCAATGATAATAAAAAAAAACGTTTTTTTGCTTTTATGTGATTGGATGATGGAAGTCATCAGAGCTTTACCTCGTTCACTAAGCTTAGGGGAAAATTCACTTGTAAAGTGCAAATCCCATTGCAAAGGGAACACCCTATTTTCTTTAGTAGATCAAACCTGATTCACCACTGGATCTTTACTATTCACTACCCTAAAATAACACCCCATCCTAGGCCTTGTGAGTGATACAGACAGCAGTATAGATCATGAAAAGTAAAAAGAAAACAAAGGCTCACATGCTTGTGCATGAATTGCGTGGTATGTTAAGTGTTGTGACCACAACCAGTATGCTCAACTGATTCCGTGACAATGGTTTCTTGGACACATAGAAATTATGCATCTCCTCATCTAGGCACATAGACAGCAAGAAAAATCTAACACACTCTTTCTAAGTTTGTCAGCAAGGATTCATGGGCAATGGTTTAAACCATGCACCAAGGTGAACTAAGTAGACTGTATACATTTAGCAGTGTTTTCTAGATAGCCTAGATCTGCTTTTTAATGATCATGTGTACCTATAGAAGTGGTCCTATATTATTACTTAGCATATCATCCAAGTACTCTACATTTTGTCTTTAGGCTCTGTGGCTACAGCGTGTAGAGACCCCGGGGTTCCAATGAATGGCACTCGCAATGGGGATGGAAGAGAACCAGGGGATACTGTTATTTTTCAGTGTGACCCCGGCTATGAATTACAAGGGGAGGAAAGAATAACTTGCATTCAAGTAGACAACAGATTCTTTTGGCAGCCAAGTCCCCCATCATGCATAGGTAAATTTTAATCTTGTCATTAATGCTCATATGCATGCTTGAAGTGGCACTGTCATTATTAATTTTACCTTCCTGACTGTAGGAAAAACGGCATCAATCGTAAGCATAGCATGTTAAAATATATATAAATGATGATGGAGATTACTCTTATTATAATTAATATTTTATGACTCTTAGCAGTCGTATAGTAGTTTGAGAAAAAAATATTGAATCATTGGGATGATCATTATACATACTGTATAAACAAGTGACAGAGCCTTAAAATATGTGTATAAAGTTAATTGTTTTAACCTTTGTTTAGCAGTAAGAATTTTCTCAATTATTAAATGTGATTTCAGCTGAGTGCAGCTCTAGGCAAATGTGTATGGCTCTTTAAATTGTGGTATTTTATCATAATATATTTTGGCTAACCCATGATTGCCATTAACCCATAGCCTAAATATATTTGTTTGCTCTTTGAAATATTTAATAATTTGGAGCCATACATCCTGATTTCTCCTAACAAATTGTTTTTTTCAGCCCCATGTGGTGGCAATCTAACAGGGTCTGCTGGCTTTATTCTGTCTCCAAATTTTCCTCACCCGTATCCACACAGCAGGGACTGTGACTGGACCATTACTGTCAATCCAGACTATGTAATTTCATTGGCTTTCATCAGGTAGGTTCTCTGAATAAATTGACCAGTCACCATCCCTGTGTTCTTCTGTAGTTAGCTTTTAAAGTCCACACTTATTTAAGACCATGTCTTTTTTAACATCTTTTTTAAATAATATAAATATATGTGTGTGTTTATAGTGCATGTAAAGGTATTTATTTCACTGTATGCTTTTATGCGTACATAGCAATGCAAATAATACAAATTGTGAGTTTTGCTGCTTTAGTTATGGTCTTGGAATTGTTTCCATGAATTGTTTAGTCTGGTGGCCATATTGTTCTTGAAGAATCAACATCAACACATTCCATTGTGTCTTTAAATGCTGGGGTATCTTCCTGACTCATTGGGACTGAAGAAAAGTAGTTTGGAGAAGCTATGAAACATGTTTAACATTACAGAACAAGTCCAATTCAGTAATAATAGCCCCCCCGTCATTGGTGTCAGTAATCATAAACATCCTTCATTGGTAATCAGTGGTAGTTATAATAATGCTTCTTCTTTAGTGTTCATTGACAGTAATAGTAATAAATCTCATTAATTGGTATTCAGTGGTAGTAATAATAAACTCCCTTCACTGATGTTCAGTGGTAGCAATTATACACCTCCTTCATTGGTGTTCAGTGGTAGAAATACTAAACCTTCTTCATTAGTGTTGAGTGATTATTTACCCGAGCATACGCTTTCACACTGCAACCTCTTTCCCCAATAACTTGGCCAGAGCTATACTATCCCTGTCAGGCAAAAGTGTGTTCCACCTGACAGAACCAGTATTAGTCTAGCACTGGGATTATGTTCCAGCACTTGACACCCTACATAATTGTGTTCTTGATCCTGTGGGACAACCTGCAGAACAAAAACGCTGTGGGACAGTGTCCAAAATCTCAGTGCTGCCCTGAAGGATCTGGGCTTTAATGTAGGGATCCTCATTTCACTGCCAACTGTTGTATTCAGAGAATTTTCTGTCCTGCTAAGTCAATGTTTTTATTGACTTTTTGTTGAGTTGGTGGTGCTGATAAGGCCACCCACAACTTTATTTTAGACAGAAAGTGTTCTGCAGGAGCTGAACTTAAATATAGCCAGCTACCCTTTTAGTGTAAAATTTCCCATTGCTTAGCCAAAAAAAATCAAGCAGCACAGCTTATGGCTATTAATAAAAGACCTGCATCACTTTAGTTAATATATTCTACCGAAACAGAGTTTTAATAGTAGATTTAATAAGCTTGGACATAGAAAAACATGTCTGCTAATTATGCATATTAAGTTAAGGGATTATGTTCCCACTGTAGGTATTGTATATTTACAGTATTCCCAAGTGTATGTGTAATAGATTGCTAATTGCTTCTATATTTCAGATGAGTTTCTTATCCTTAATCACCATATTGCTGACTGGTGATGGGCAGGAAAGAAAAGAAACCTAATTAATAGGTTACATCTGCTTATTAGAAAGTAATCAGGTATTACAGTGTTGGGATGCCCATGTTATAGTTAAGGTTTCCTATTCATTTTCTGTTAAAAGCAATGTCACTTGCTGGATTACATTTCATAATGTGGTCCCTAGAGCAAAGGACACATGGGTCACTCATAGGAAGATCAAACAAAAAAACAGGAAGTGTTTTACTGCCAACATTACCAAGTAAAAATATAATATAAAAAAGCCTGAATAAAGAAATCCACCACATCTAAAGACTGTTAAGCTGCAATGTATAATATTTTTGTTCTTTTCGGCTACACTTTTAAGTAAATTTAAACCATTTTTTTTTAGTTTTGGGTAGAGAGGAAAAGGGCTAGCTCCTGTGTTAGATTGTTTTGCTGTTTGAGTCCCCAGTGGGGAGAATCATCCTCCCTATTTGTCCTGGTGGCAGGGAAAATCCCAAATTTTGAGTTGTCGTTGGAACTGGAATAGAAAGAAATCTTTCAACGTGGACACTTGTTCCAGTGAGAACTATCTAACGGGATTTCCCCTTTCGAGAGATTTCCCCTATTTCATCTTCTTTCTATGGGACAAAAAGTAAATGTCATTCTCAACAAAGGAACATATGGAATTAAATCCTGCTTCGTTTTAACACCTTCTGGATGAACATGAATAACAAAAAAAAGCCCCAGGTTGGGATTTATTATTGCTAATATCATATTTACTTTAAAAAAAATACTCAATGCAAATAATTTAAAAAAACAGTATTTTTGCTTTCATGTGAATGGATGATTGATGTCAGAAGAGCTTCATCTCATTCACTAACTAAGAAAAAATGCCCTGCAATGTGAAAATCCCCTTGTAAAGTGAACAGCCGATTTGCCTTTAGTAAACCAAACTCAATGGCTTTAATATCTTCTGAGTCACTTACCCATAGTATGCAGGTTAGAAGTTCTGTCTGTGGTCCGGCTTTACTCCCTGAAAGCACTCAATATTGAAGCCAGAGACAGCCAATGACTAGCATTTTCAGGAAGTCAATAACAGAAGCCCCACTCCATGCAAGTTTTCTTTCAAATTCAATAATCTGATATAAAAGTCTACATTTTAACATTGAAAAGTAATATTTCTGAGTAAATGTTTCTTTGAGCGGTTTTAAATAACCAGTGAACACAACTATAATAATTTAGTAATAGTTATGTTTTAGACTAATTAACATGATACTGAAACAGAAGACTTCCTGCGTAACTTCTTTTTAAAATTATGACTCATTCAGGTTTTCTTTATTTCTGTATTGTCTTTTTGTTTCTAAATGTAATAGTAAAAAACTGAAAAAATAAACTAGAATGCTAGAAAAGTCAGCCAGCATCCTGGGATAAAAGTCTCCCCATCTACAATGTTTTGCCAAAAACCTATAAGCTTGTATTTCATTTACATGCTCACACCATTCTATTATTGAACAGTATTATAAAATTATTGTAGTAATATATTTATTAAATTAATGTCCTCCTTTCTCTTTTTACAGCTTTGGAATTGAACCTAATTATGACTTCCTGTATATTTATGATGGCCCGGATGGCAATAGTCCCCTGATTGGAAGTTTCCAGGACAGCAAGCTACCAGAAAGAATTGAAAGCAGTTCGAACAACATGCATTTGGCTTTTCGAAGTGATGGATCTGTTAGCTTCACTGGCTTTCATTTGGAGTACAAGGGTAAGTTTAGAATATAGTTACAGTTTCTAATATATTTATTTTATATGACACTTAGAGTAAATTATTGCACTTTTAATTTTAAATAAATTATTCATTTAAATGTTTAAATATGATGTGCCTCTATTTGTGGGTCTCTTTCCCTGTATTCTGTACAAGCATAGAGTTGCATTATTGAAGGTTTCTTGATGAATGCAATTCAAGCCTGTATTGCACAATTTGTTTCAGCTACATGACCGCTCCCAAAATAATGGTGTTGTCAGTCATATCCATAATGTATTCAAAAGAAATAAAAAACATCAGGTTGTTGTTAATTGCCTCAGTTGAGTCAAATGAGTTCTGCTGGAGGCTGCACTGCAGAAGCATTATCTTGAGTGGTAGGATAACAGGTTTTACAACTGTATTGACATCTCATCTGTATGCTCTTATCTGTAACTAGATGAGATCCTATCACACAGTGCCTCCCTCAACATTTACTCCAATCATAAAAAAATGTATAATATTATAAAATCACAGATGGGTTAGCACATTCTGCTGTTCTTCTATGAATGTTGCTTTTGGTTTGACCAAACCAAAAGCTTTAATTATCACCGTTGACCATACACCTTGCAATATTAATGTGCAATCCCTTTGTAACCCCCTTTAGATCTACCTGAACTATTAAGTGATTATTTAAACAATCTACTCAATTTGTATCTCATCAAGTAGACTCACATGCCACACAATTATTGGTAGATCTGAAGAAGAGTGTTCAATCAGTTTGTAAGTTGTATGGCCAAATGTGCCCTACACTAGCTAAACTGTTCCCTGCAGTTGAATGATTGATGATGGAAATAGACACCTCATTGGGGCAAAAAATCCAAACACATCTTCTTAAAAGTATTTGCTAATTGGTTTACCATTGACTATTGTTGTGGTGAGTCAGTTGACATATCTGACCTGGGTTCATGTTTGTGTTCTTGCCCTTAATGCTGATTCTTTAGTCTTTGCTTTCTTCTATCCTTTTGGCGAGGCTTGCGGCTGGGCCACTGGGGAATGACTCATCCAATACCTGAAATTCCACTGAGTTTACTGTATACAATATTGGCATCAGAAATGCCCACAATTCACTTCCTATTTAGCCAGAATGTCTGTTTTCTGTTTCCTCAATAATACAGAGTTTTGTCAATATAACAAGCTCGGTAACTGAAACACTTTTAACAAAAGTAGAAAAATAAAATTAATCAAAAGTTAAGCTGTTTAATTTAAAAGATCATAAAAAAATATTTCTCAAAATTTGTTTAAAGATACTATTTTTACAACGGATTATATAAATAGTGCAAATAGTTCAGATAGCATTTACAATTTTAACTTCTGCTTGTGTTTCAGTCATTTGTGGAATAAGTTCTTATTTACTTAAACTGTAAACTTACTTTGGGTACTTCTTCAATGTTTGCTTGACATGTCAAATTGAACAATAATTCCTTTGTTTCAGATGTACTATAGTTAGGGCCCATTTACATAGAATGCATTGGGCTATGCTGTGCAGTCAATGCAGTCCCAGTGCATAGGAAAAGCAGAATGCCTTATGTCATATTGGTTCATTGACATCAGTGCGTTGCGGTGGTGTGAGTTTAAAAAATGTAGGACATGCAGTACTTTTTTTCAACACAGTAGAGTTGATTTTCTAAAGGCAAATCTGCTGTTCACTTTGTAATGGAATTTGTACTTTGCAGGGGACGTTTCACTTAGTTTAGAGAATGAGGTGAATCTCTGCTGACTTATATCACCCAATCATGTGCAAGCAAAAATATTTTTTTTTTATTTTCCTTGCTTGTGATTGGGTATTCCTTACAATATGAAAGCTCACCACATTTGCCAAGCTAAGAAATTTACCTGCAAAGTGTAAATGCCCTTACAAAGTGAACAGCCCATTTGCCTTCAGTAAATCAAGCCCCATGTGTTTATTTATTTATTTATTTATTTATTTATTTATTCTTTATTAATTTTCACAATCATACATATAAACATCTTAGCATACATATTCCATACATTAACACTCTCCCGTCCCCCAATCCTTATCCATATCCCGCACTTCTCTTCTCTCCCCTTTTCCAATCCAGTCTTGAGTATGTATCATGTAACTGGGAGTAGTATGTAAAGTCGCGTTCCTCTGGATGTAAAATTCGCCATATTTCAACTAGTTGACTTTTAAATAGCTCCCTTTTCAGACGTGTTAGATGGGAACTGGGATTTCTTGCCGTTCCCTTTGATGTATCCAGCTGTGGGTCTAGGCTTACGTTAAAGTCTCCTGCCATTATCACCACCCCCTTTCTAAATTCTCCCAACCTCCTAAGGACTCCCAGAAGAAAGGGGACCTGTAGCCGGTTGGGGCCGTAGACATTTACCAGGGTATATTCCGTTCCATTCATTGTGATATGTAAGAACAAATACCTGCCCTCCTTATCTGTCATTTGGGCGTGGACTTGTACTGCTATGTTCTTACCAAAGCCTATTGCTACCCCCTTAGACCGCTTGTTATTCGACAGGCTGTAGTTAGTTCCGCAAGTCCCACAAGTCCCCCCCCCACCATGCCATACCCTCGTCACCCATATGTCGATTAATCTGATACAGAAAACAGTAATACAACCATTTACATCTTCTTAAGTAGATATATCCTGTGTCCCCAGAAAGCAGACATTTTTACCAAGGACCTCGGTACCCCCTCCCCCTCCCTTTCTATATAACTCCTGCCCTTCTGGGCTACGTCTTTTGCCAGTGATGAGCCGGTTTCGTCAATCCTTTTAAGATGGTTTCCGGCCATCCTGGGAGTGTTGGGGGGGGAATTCCGATTTTTTTACAAAAGTCTACTAGGTCCTCTGGAAACCGTAGTGTCGCTGTTCTGCCTTCTCTCGTTGCAATAAGACAAGCAGGGAACCCCCATCTGTATGGGATACGTTGTTCTATTAATACTTGCGTCAGTGGCCGCAGAGCCCTCCTGCGCGCCAAAGTCTCAGGTGCCAAATCTACAAAGAACTGTACTTTCACTCCATTGCTTTCCATCCCTGGTGCATTTTTCAAGCTTTCCATAAGTTGTACTTTGTCTGTATAATAGTGAAACCGCACAATTACGTCCCTGGGACTCTCACCCCCCAGCATTTTGGGGCGTATTGCTCTATGCACTCTGTCGAAGATCAACTCTATTATTTTTAATAGATTTCGTCTGTTTCTGTTTTCATAGTCTTCCATTTTATATGATAACGTTCTTATTGTATGCTCATCAGATCTACTCTGATCCTGTAGCTCCTGAATAGCCTTAGCGTGCTCATCAAGGCGTTCCTCAGTCTCCTCTACCCTCTTCAGTATCTGTGATAACTCAGTCCTAATTGTAGTCAGGTCCGCTTTTATTGATGCTTCCATATGCCCCAGCAAACTTGTCAGTTCTAATTTCGTGGGCAAAGATTGTGCTAGGGTATGCAAGGTTATCACGTTACCTTGATGAGAGTCCTCTGAGGTGCCCGACATCTCCAGTGAGCTGGCTCGTCCATCCGTGGTGTTCCCCATCTGATCTCCTTCGTGCTCCGACAGCGGGACTACGTCATCAGACTGCGCACTCTCTCTTCCTTCCCGTCCTTGGTGCCCGTGGTCTGATGGTTCCGGGGCCCAGAGACGCCTAATCGTCCCTGTCCGGGCTGCCTTGGTGGCCGACTTCTTCTGCGCTCTCCGTCCTCCCATAGCCTCCCATAGCGACTGCACTGGAGTGGGGCACAGAAGCAGGATCAGGTCAGTTTTTCTGGGTATACTCTTTCGTTATTCAGTCAATCCGGCATGGAGGGTGATCGTCGGGGCTGCTGCTACTCGCGGCCCTCCGCCATCTTAGATAGGCTCCACCTCCCCCTACTCCGGTCACGCCCCCCAGCCCGATGTGTTTAGACACATGACACCCACATTACAAAGCACTGCATTGAATAAACATTTTGTGACATTTCAGTAAAGTTGCAAAAAAAAGTAAACAGCGTGATTCATCATTTACAATGTATCATCACTGTTTATCAGGTCAGTTTTTCTGGGTATACTCTTTCGTTATTCAGTCAATCCGGCATGGAGGGTGATCGTCGGGGCTGCTGCTACTCGCGGCCCTCCGCCATCTTAGATAGGCTCCACCTCCCCCTACTCCGGTCACGCCCCCCAGCCCGATGTGTTTAGACACATGACACCCACATTACAAAGCACTGCATTGAATAAACATTTTGTGACATTTCAGTAAAGTTGCAAAAAAAAGTAAACAGCGTGATTCATCATTTACAATGTATCATCACTGTTTACTTCACAGCACACTCAAGTGGCTGTGTTAGAACATGACCGCTGGTGGGAGCGGGCCCTTTCACAGCACATTTTGGTCTCCTTTGCTCAGCAATCAGTAGACTACTAACCACAAAAATGCATCTATATATTTTGGGGTGGCATGTTCTTCTTTACTTCTAATAGTTGGAGTTTACATTTATGACTTAAAATTTAATTGTAAAAGTATGTTTCAGTGAAACACTTATATGGGAGCTGCTTTACCAACTTGCAATATACACAGCTTGGTCATACAGCACGGCCGTCTGGTAGGGCAGGAGACATTATTTTTTTCTTTGCAACAGTAAAAGTATATATATAAACCCAAGAACAATAAGAGGGTTATTCACAAAGCTGTCAAACGATCTAGCCGTAGCTTCGGCTGATCCTTTGGCTAGCTTCGGCCCCAGGACCCCTTCGGTTCAGTAGAACCGAAGGGCTGCTGTAGGGCTATTCACAATAGCCCATACAGCTCACGAAGTTGGCCGAGTGGCTCAGTCGAGCCGAAGGCATATGCTTCGGCTCGACTGAGCTAAGGTGAAAGCCGAAGCTGGCCAAACACCAGAGACAGATCAGCGTCCCCTGGATACCAGGTAACCAGGGGACCCTGATCTGTCATTACACTGAGAACCCGGCGGAGCCTCCGTGATATCACGGCGGCTCCGCCGAGTTCTCAGTGTGAAATGACAGTTCAGCGTCCCCTGGTTACCTAGTGACCAGAGGATGCTGAACTGTCATGAGAGCTTGTCGGAGCTGCAGTGTACTGGAAGTGTGTGCTGTGGATCATTTAACCTGGTACACACTTCCAGGACACTGCAGTAATAGAGTTACAATTCTGCCCTGCTAACATGAATAGGTTAAATAATCCATAGTACAGCTAAATGTTATGTACTATGGATCATGATTTAACCTATTCATGTTAGCAGGGGAGAATTTTAAATCTATTGCTGTAGTGTAGTGGAGGTGTGCTGTATATATGTACTACATATACAATACACATTTACAGTACACTATAGCAATAGATTTACAGCTAGCCCTGTCCCAGCTTCCCTCACTCACAGTTTCACTCCGCTCCCTGTTGCCTCATGAGGTTCCTCTTGTAGTCGGCGCTGGGCAGAATCGCTGCATCACGTTTCGGTGCTCAGCTTGTGGGAGGTGCTCACAATTCTGCCCTGCTAACATAAATAGGTTAAATCATGATACATAGTACATATACAGTACACATGTCCAGTACACTGCAGCAATAGATTTACAGTTCTACCCTGCTAACATGAATAGGTTAAATCATGATCCATAGTACATAATATTTACATAACATGTAGTTGTACTAAGGATCATTTAACCTATTCATGTTAGCAGGTCAGAAATGTAAATGTATTGCTGCAGTGTATTGGGAATATCTACTGTATATGTACTACATATAGAATACACTGCAGCAATAGATTTACAATTATCCCCTGCTAACATGAACAGGTTAAATCATCCATAGTACAACTACATGTTATGTGCATATCATGTACTATGGATCATTAAACCTATTCATATTAGCAGGGGGGAATTGTAAATGTATTGCTGCAGTGTATTCTATATGTAGTACATGTACAATACATATTCCAAATACACTGCAGCAATAGATTCTTGTTGTTCACACTAACAATTCTAAACTTCCAACTTAAGCTCAGGCCCTGTCTCACTTACTGGTGCCTGTTCGATCGTGGTGCCTCACAAGGTGCCGAACGATTTTCGTCACACGTGATGACATCATCAGCGCTGAGCTGAAGAAGAGCATTGCGTCACTGCTGCTCCAGTGGGTGGTGCTCCAGGTGGGGTCCTAATTTAGGTGTTCGGCGACTGCCCAGAGGACCCCACCACGCGCGGCACATCAAGTAAAGAAAAAAACAAAAAACATAGTGAAAGCATCAGCGCTATGTATCGGGGCATTTTGACAAGTACTTGTCAAAATGCCCTGTATCAGTCCCGATACCGATGCTGGTATCGGTAACGGGACATCCCTAATAAATACAGATCTGCCTAGAGTTCAGTACAGCTATTTTTAATTGTAGTTTGTTGAACACCTGTTTTAACTCTCTTATAATTAAAAGTACTGTATAAACATTTAAGCTACTTGTCCTAAGTCTGTCATGCTTCATGCATTTGAACTAAGTGATGTACATTATAAATGAATTACAAGTGCCCACTTTGCAGTGCCTATAATCATGTAATATGATGTAGCATAGTTCTCATAAAACCCATCAATTTCTAACCAATGTTAGCATTTTTCTAGCTGTATGCATGCCTCAATCCCATTTCACTGCTTCCTGTTTTGCAAAAGGTGTTTTCCACCATCCTTTTTCATACATTCTGCACTCTTATATTCAAAACAGTCACTGTGCATCACGTGTCCCACACTTGTTGTTCTTGTAATAACATATAAACTAAGACAAATGTCTTGAGGCACCCTTGAAAATGTTGTTTGCATTTTTTGAATTTCTGTCAGCTTTTACCAAAAGCATTCTGCAAAATCAGTGTGTTACTTGTTTTCAGTTTGGAGCAACTAACAGTAAAAACTTTGTGGGAATCAATCAAAACTACTACAGTGAAAATGAATTTTGATTGATTTTTCAATAGTTAAACTAGTGACTTGAAAGTAAGCAGGAAGAACCAGTGAGAGCTGCAAGGGTCCACTGAGATTGATGCTCCCAGTTGACATTGGTTTCCTTGCAGGTGGCAGAAAAGGTATATATTTATGTTATTCTTTCCCAAGTATATCTTGCCTGAGCTCAGGGCACAGGTCATATTTCATGGGGTCCTTACAACTTATCACTGGGCTGTATTAATAGGAAGAGTTCACAACTAAATGTCCATTCTTGCATACCTCTATTTCATGTATGTCTTTCGTGATAGAAATATTGGAAAATGCTATTTGCTGTCTATTGTGGTGACCTACTGACATCAACTGTGTCTGAGTCCATGGGGGTGATTTACTAACCTAAACACACGCACGCACTAGGTGCGTGTGATTTTTACACAGCAAAATGTATTTATCAACCAAAAAGTCTCTAAAAGCATATTTCCACTAATGTCATATATGGAAAAATCATGCACATGATGCATATATAATACTGCTTCACAGTTTAGGCAAAAATGGTTAGCTCATGCATTTACATTCCTGCATTCATCAACGCAAGCAACACAATGTAGAGTCAATTTACACAACATCACCTTGCAATTCATGCAGGGCTTTGCACAACACACCTGCTGGGTGTGTACACACTACAAAGGTGTCTAGATTCCACCAATAGATCATGCTGGGAGGGAACACACTACAGAGGTGTATACTTGTTTGTGGCGTGTTTATAAGGTTAGTAAATCAACCCTCATGTCTTGAGACAAGCATTCAAATAGAATAAGTCTTTTCTAAAAGAAACACAGGGCTCTCATTGCTCACTTTCTTGTAAAATTGCTAGTTTCCAAGCTTACCCAATGGCTTCAGTATTTTAGATCCCTCAACCCAAAACAAGTATGCAGATCTTGAAAGACAGAGAACATATGGGGTAATTATCTGCAAACTTGTTCTAGACGTTTTAAAGCCAGAGAAGTACTGAAGCCAGAAAGTCAACATGACAGCCAGGCAACTTGTACTTTCAGAAGGAAAGTTCAGATACAGCAGCCACCTTGTTCCTGTTAGGGAATGTTTCTTTGAAGTAGATAACCCTTATTGTAATTTTTGTATAAAAGCAATATATCACTATCAGTGATCCGTTCCATTTTTCATCAGTCCATTCTGCAATTCCCCATATATATGCAGTGCTAGTTTAATACCTCTATGGTTTAAAAATTATTTATACATGGCTAAACTTCTTTTGTCCTTTCACAGTTCATTTGGTAGAGCTATAGCTGTACAATTTATCATTGACACAATGTTACAAAGCTAGGACACAAGCAGAAGTTAAAGTTATAGCATAAGTTTCTACTTTTTTTTTCAAGCTTTTGAAACAAATGCTGCCTATTTGAAATATATACCATGATCAAGTATTAACAAACAAGCCATATGCAGTGATATTGGGGACATATGTTAGTTATTGGGAAGAACAAACATTTTCGTATCATTCTGTGTAGAATTACTGTATGCTCCAGATCTTTTGTACACATTTAATAACAGGTGACAGTAAATAATAAATGAAAAAAGTACACTATATGACCAAAAGGTGTTGGACACACTGTTATGTATTGAACATTCTATTCTCAAGCCATAGCAATTAATATAGCATATAATGTAGCTTCTACTCTTCTGGGAAGACTTTCCAGAAGGTTTTGAAGTGTGTATGTGGGAATGTGTGCCCATTCAATCAAAGAGCATATTATGAGGCCACTCAACTTTCTCCACACTTAACATATTAGAGTCTGTCTTCTGTCTGTTTTGCTAGCACAGAAAAAAAAGCTTTCCCCAAATGGTTGGATGTGCTGGGGGCGGGGAGGGCGAAGGAGTAATTTGTGCCTAGTAATTGGAGATTAGCCTTAATTTTGGACAATCAAAGACCAGGAGCCTCTGCATTAGGCCAGGAAATTACATGCAGCTTTAACAGATACAAATAAAAACGATTGCATGAGGTCTTTTATCTGCCTCTGGGAATCCTTAAGTCATTCCTCATTCACAGTCTCCAAAGGGATTGCATTTTCTGTCTTAACACAGTGGGTGTCTAGATTATGTAGTTGTTTTAATTGTATATCGATCATAAATACACACATGCTTTTTCTCTGCATGGAATGTTTACATCTGTTGTGATGCTTTTTGATGTCTTCTGATCTACAGCTAAATTAAGGGAATCCTGTTTTGATCCTGGTAATATAATGAATGGCACAAGACTCGGCATGGATTATAAACTTGGTTCTACTGTCACTTACTTCTGCGATGCTGGCTATGTATTGCAAGGATATTCGACCCTTACATGTATCATGGGGGATGATGGAAGACCTGGGTGGAACAGAGTGCTACCAAGCTGCCATGGTGAGCTGTGCATGCTAAAAATAATTTATACACATCAGATTCTCAAAGCAGAAGAAAAATCAATATGAGATAAAAAAGAGAATTGTTTGCCGCAATAAAGAGATAATACTGAAATATTATGCATACAATTGTACAAAATCTTTTTAGTCCTCCTTTCTGCACCCGCAGCTTAGGGGATCAGTTTATAACTGGGCCAAAATGTAACAGGAAAAATTGTTCTATTAAATCTGAAATATATTGCAGACTGTTAGTGTGCTAACTAAAATCTTCCTCTCCCGTCATGCAGTTTCTCTAGCACTTGGGTATCCTTTTTGGCCTGTTATATCTATAGCTATGAACTCTCTTCTAATTTGCTCCTTTATAATAGAACCCCCCTAGTATATCGAGCAACAAAAAGGTAATAAGAAGAAACAATTCTCACAAGTATAGCAAAAAAAGGTTTTCAAGGGATGAACTGTTCCAAGGCACAAATTAGTTGAAAATAAGTAAAATATTCAGTCTGAAAGGAACACTGCCATGAGACAATAATGGAGGCTGCCATAACTGAACTCACCTTTGAGAAATGTTTCTAATGCTTTAACTTCAATGCTGTTGCTGACCCAAATCGAGTACACAAATAGGTTGTTTTGACACTTTTTTCTACACTCATTTACTGCATGGTTATCCCACACTGTGAATGAAAAGTCAGGCACAGCCTAGCAGCTATCATTTTTGGAAAGAGGCCTTCAATGGTAGCCCCGTGCTTCTCTCATGGCAAAGTAACTTGAAAAAGAGAGTGTTTTTAAAAACTGAAACCTAAACAGAGCTGGAAAACAATAACTTTTCTGTTTTCTTTGATGGTGAAAACACAGGTTTTTGTTGTATACATTTGCAAATACAAATGAAAGCCACACTGCCACATCAAGGCACCTCTGATTAGTGTGGTTTCCAATTCTTAAGTATCTGAGTTTCAGAACTGTTGGGACATACATCATACTGCACCACAGAGCAGACTCACCTGGAAGCATCCCCATCCTCCTTAAGGGTACAGTCACACACTAGAAGCCCAGATATTGCTTCTGCTAGGCATCTGATGACTTCCAGTGTGTGTCTGAATCAAATCCAAAAAAAGCCTCAATGGCAGCTGCCCCCTTTTCAAACTTGCAAAAAAGGGAGAGGTGCACATGGGCACGCCAATAGAAAAAAATACAAAAATCCCTGGCACACTTTCAAGCTAACCAGCAAAAAACCTAACTAATATGTTTCATACGGACACCATTTTCATGTCAAGGCACCAACACTGCTAACGTTAAACTATCTGTGTTACCAGCTACGGCACTTAGAGTATATAGAGTAGGCTCACCTGAAGACAGCTATGTAGCTACAAGACAAAGCAGTCACATACATGTTGGAGGAAGGAGTCATGAATTCTAAAGATCTCTATGACTAAGCCCATTACTGGGTGAAACATGTCAGAGTGAAGAGGTTCCATGGTGGGACAATGTGTACCTGTGTGCCGCAATAAATTTGTGTGCAAAGCTTGTGGTGTGTGACCGGACTTTTTCTCTGTGAGCAACTGCTGATGCTGGAGCAAGATGGGCTTGACCGGTGGGCACCAACCATTCTCTCTCTGGTGTTGCTGCGAAGGAGCAGTGATATTTTTCTATGGAAGCTAATAAACACTGAAGAGTCTGACAGAGGCTGCAGTGCTGGAACTGAAGGAATTTAAGAGACATCGTTCACAGGAGAGGTGAGTATAAAAGCTCTTCTTTTGCAGATAATTTCCTATAGGACATTTCTAAAAACAGACAGGGTCACTTTAACAAAACAGCACAAGATGACAGTGCTTGCAAAAATGCTTATACAGCCAGAAAAAAGGAACACTAAAATCTCTCCTTAACCCGGATTTAACCAGACACAGAACCTGCGTAATTCATGTGTGTCCATAATTAAATGGATTTAAATGGATTTGGCAGCACTACCTCGGTACATTTTTGTTCCCAATGTCATAATTTTGCATCACTTAAATATACAAAGCTCAACAACGGATTCATCTTGTGAAACTGCATTACTGCCACGCACAAGCTGCAATATCTCAAATCTAGATCTCTCACTAAAAGTGACTCATTCTTCCACCATAGCACTCACGCCTCATCATGTTCGATGACCGAATGCCTCCTACTTATTGCTTTATCAAGGCACTCACTTCAAAATGTGTCACTTTTACTTGCATTAGCGATCATAGATTTTATATCCTGCAGTATAAAATACCATATATCTAGGTCACCATGCCTATGTCCCTGCATTCAATTTTCATTTTCAGCTCCCTGCTCGGATGCCATCTACCTTGTCTGATTACTTAGATATGGAATTCTGGATCAATATCACAGTCTTCTGTCTACCTGCCGAGTTCCATTTTTCTAGTATATTTTTTTAATTTACTATTAACTTTAGTACAGTATTCAGACATAGAATTTATTTAATTTAGTGGTTTGCAGATCATTTATTGTATACTATTTACTATGCTACAATGCAGTCAAGTATATGTAAACCCAATCACTAAAATTGTATATAAGCTTTACTATGTTAATGTAGTTTCAAAAGAAATGTTAATATTTGTAAATTTGAATCTTTCTTTAAAAAAATAGTTGGTGAACCTGCCATAAAGGTCTTGGTTTGGGTGCTTTCTGTCGCTGACCGTGCCCTGTCCCTGTCTTTTATTTGTGCAAATTGTATTGTCATTCTGTCCTTTGCTCTCTCAATGCAAGCAAGCATGCTGCTTCACCATCAGGAAGCCCGTTCTAAAAAATGATGTGCAGTAGTCACTGGTATGCCTGCATGTAGATAGAAAGTAGAACAAAATGGCTATGCAGCACTGGTATGCAGCAAAGGATAAACATGGAAAAATAGTATTATATTATATTAATCAAAAGGGAATTGTTAATTATATACAGTGCTTTAGCAATTGGAATGTCATTTAGTTTACTTCTACCATAAAGGAACTCCCTGCACATTACAGTATACATAGTTAGTCAGGTTAAAAAAGATACAAGTCCATCAAGTTCAACCTATAGAGATATGGAGAAAAAAAAGAGAAGAAAAGCCGAAACAGAATGCTATGCCCACAGCTAGGAAGGCAACAAACCCCTATAAAGCAAATTGCTCCAACAGGGGGAAACAATTCCTTCCTGATCCGAAAAAGCAATCGGATATTCCCTGCTGTATCAAGGGCTAAATATACAGTATATAGTCTAT